GGCAGGAGCAGTGTTCGATGCCCAGGGCCTTGGCAGGCCCATGCCAGCGTGGCCTCTACTTGCACTGGGATCTGCCTCCCAGAGAGCATCCCTTCATTCCTTCCATACTCCCAGTGCATTCCAGCCCCCACCTGCAGGGAGGCCTCTCTGCTCATGCCAACAGTTCAACTGCAAATCAGTAGTGGTGCCCACCCTCCTGGGAGGCCCTTAGCTAAGCACCCCCAGAGGAGCCTCTGTCTCCTTGCCCTTTAAAACTGGATTGGTCCAGTTTCTTAAAATCTTTCAATGGTTCCCTGCTGCCTCCAAGATCAAGTCCAGCTCCAGGTCCCTGTGATCCAGTCTCCCCAACAGGCGGCTCCTCACATGTGGACAGAGCTACCTGCAATTCTCTGACTGAGCCAGCCCCTTCCTGGTTCAGCCCTCCCCACCCTGCCTGGCTCCTCCTTTCCCTGAGAAGCTGCACTGCCAGCCTTGCCCAGCTCGCTGTCCCTCCCTCTCCAGGGGCCTGCTGGCTGGCTGTGCCTCGCTCAGCACACTGTCTTAGACCGCCTGGACGCGGGCCCTGGCCCAGAGCCAGGCGCTAACACACAGTGTTGCCACGATGCCCCTCTGACGTGGGCAGTTTCCAGACATGGCCATTTCAACACATCAGAGTGGACACTCCTACGGCTGCGGGGAGCTGCCCCCGTGCTAGCTGTGTGCACCATGGAGCAGACCGGGGGCCATGCGGATTGCTTTTCAGCCTCATGGAAACACCCCGATGGCAAAATGGCTACATCAACTTCTCCTGTGCCTCTGGGTGGAGTGGACAACAAAGGCTTGAATGCACAGGGAAATGCCGCGTTCCTCATGACCCGCCAGCCTCGGGCTGGGGCATTGTTCCTGGGGGGCCCTCCACACCCAGGCTGCCCTTGCTCCCAAGGGCTCAGTGCAAACAGCCCCTCCACCAGCCCCTGCCTTCCACAGCCCCCTCGAAAGGGGGGCCCCTCACCACTGAGAGCCGTGTGACCTCAGCAAGTGCCCACAGTTTTGTGTGCGTAAAAGGACCTGACTGGTCAGCTCCGTCTGCACCTGCCCCGTCCCCCCTTAATCCACACAGTGACTAGAGTGGCCATTCTCAAACACAAACCAGGCCAAGCCATGCCCGTGCTTCAAACCGCTCAGGCTTCCCGCTGTTCCCAAGTCCTTTCCTCGGCCTTCAGGGCCCTCCGTGCCCCTCTCCAGCACACGGGCCTCTCCAGCACACCAGTGCCTCGGGCCATGCTCGCTCTCTGTTCCTGCTTCCGGAATCCCCGTCCCACCCACTCCTGCGTCCTGCGTCCTGTGCCTGCGCCGGCTCCTGGGGAAGCAGGCTGGGGGTGGCTGTGGTCCGTGAGTGCTAGTCAGCGTCTCTGCGTCCCTCCCGGAGCTCTCAAACACAGCCTCACTCATGGCCGCAGGCAGGTGCAGAGCACAGGCCTCGCCTGAGGCCAGCAGCCGAGAGCCACTCGCCAAGGGAGGCGGGGTCTCAAGCCTCAGGTCACTGTGCCACCCAGCTCGCCCGCCCCATTTCCCAGCAGGGCCCCTTACCAGGCTACCCGGGACATGGCATAGGTGACACGGTGGGCCCGGGTCCCCCCGGGGAGGGAACCTGTGCCCATGGTGTAGGCGCCCATGTTGTCAAAGACCAGCCAGTCCCCTACGTGCAGCTGCGGCAGCCACAGCGGCCACCCAGTCCCAGCCATCAGCCACCGGGCCCCACAAGCTGCTGCTGTACAGAGGCTGCTCCGTGGCCGCTTTCTGTGGGAGAGAGGGGTGGCCACGTCCGGTCGCTGGATGTGTGGCCACGTCAGCTCTCTGGATGCCCCGCGGCGTCAGTACCCTCCCTGGAGAGCCTCCCAAGACCCCGCCGCCAGCGGAACAGAGGCCACAGACGCCTGGTCTGCGTGTGAGGCCCCCGTCTCCCTGCGCTGTCAGTCCTCGCACTCGGGAGCCACATGCCTGGTCTCTGATCCCGGTTCCAGCCCTTGCTGGCCGGGTGAGCCAGAGCCAGCGACCTCGCCCCGCGTGCCTCAGCTGCTCCTCTGGAATGGAGCGAGAACACGCCACGTCGGGCAACGGGCCAACGAGCCTGAGTCTGCAGGGCACACAGGGACCGACAGGCAGCACCGCTGCTGATCCCCTGCCGCCTCACCGGCTCTGTGCTCTGGTCTTCACCGCCCCTCCACTGCCCTTCTCCCACCCTCAAATCCCCGAGGCTCCCTCTTCTAGGAAGGCCTCCCCGACCCTCCTTCCAGATCAGGCCCAGGGATATGATTCAGAAGCACACAGGTGCCCTTGGCCCACCCCCTTGGGCTCTCGGGTGAGAGGCAGGCTCCCCACAGACAGGGTGGCCTGGCAGGAGTGACAGAGGACCCCACAAGGTAGGCACGGTGTCCCCATTTCAGGGAGGCTGAGGCTCTGAGTCATTACTTGACTGCCCAAAGACACAACCATCAGAGACCTACATTTTGCAATCTTTTTCTTAAATGACTTCCAAATCCAGAAAAGAAACCTGTAACACAGGCACCCCCAGACTACCGAGGCTTCAGTGACATTTGTCGCAGTGGAGGGTCCCACCAGGCGGGTCTAGAGGGGGTGTCAGGACAGAGCTGGCATTGGCAGAGTCTGACCACATTCAGGCCCCTCTTCGCTGCCCACTCCTGAGTCCCAGCTGCTTGGGTTGCTCTGGACTCCCCAAGTAAATCCTGCTTCCCTTCCCTACCTCCCTCTCCCCCAAGTAAATCCTGCTTCCCTCCCCCCACCTCCTTCTACCCCAATGCTGTTCCCTTGGTCCCAAGTCTGCCAGCTCCCATTCCCCCTTTAGATCCCGGCTAAAACAGACTCAAGGAACCCTTTCGTAAAGCTCCAAGCTCATCCAGCAGCGGTCGCCGTAATTGGTGATTGAACATTGGTGAAATGTGCTCGGGCCTGCCTTCCCCTGCGCCCAGGTGTCCCCCATGCCCAGCAGTGTGGCCTCCAGGTGCTGTGGGATCCAGTCAGCCTCAGGCATCCGCAGGGTATTGAGCCCAGAACCCCGTCAGACACCAAACCCCAGGCGCCCAGTCCCTTACCTGAAAGGGTGCAGAATTTGCATGCAGCCTGTGCACACCCCCCTGTGTACTGTAAACCCTCTCTGGGTTACTAATGGCTAGTACAAACGAACAGTGTTACACTGTGTCATTCGGGAAGTGTTCAGCAGCCACAACATGTTTTGTTTTGTTTTTCTGTCTCTTTTTAAAAACGTTCGCTGTAGGGCACGTGCTCTTGAGAGAGAGGGAAAGTGACAAGTCACGTGCCAGGGTGGATGGCCGTGACACAATCACTTCTGTTCCTTTCTTCTGTGCATTCCTTCTCCACTCTCCTCTCAGGATGCTGGGCATGCACACACATGCACCTGGCAAGACTGTCGAGCTGCTGGGTCTGGAACTTGAACTGCACACTGCACGGATGGCCACATGGGACCAGTACATTAACCACCACGCCACCTGCTAGACCACCACAGCTCTCCCCCGGACATCTGATCTGCAGTTGGTTGAATCCGTGGATGAACTTCAGATACAGAGGGCCAACTGGTATTATTTCAAATGACTGGGCTACATTATACATGAGTGATGAGAACAAGAAAGAGTGAGAAAGAAAAAGAAGGTATGAATGCCAGCCATCTGAAGAGCCGTGGAAGCAGTGGAGACCAATGGAGAAAAACCAAAGGCATCCCGTCACCTTAACCGGGGACAGGAACAGGTAAAACCGAGAAAGAACAGTTTCATAGTCAGGAATAATATTCATCTGACAGAGCTCACTAATAATTACTATCCCCATTAAGAAAAGCATGCATACAATTAGATCCAGAATGAGAACTAGCCTACGTTGGTGAACTCACCACTCAGCAAGTCCTTACTGAGCACCTACTAAGCGCCAGGCTCTGACTCCGGAGCTAGGATACAGCAAGGAGCACCCCCCAGATCCTGGGCCAAGGAGCGCGCGTGCCATGAAGAGACGGATACGCCCTTGTTTATGTAACTTGTCATTCCTGTTCACGAGCTTCTTAATGAGTAAAATTAATGTCCGTTACTCTGAATTACTACCCGTGGCCCTAATCATTTAAAAACATTGAGCCAACTTTTAAAGACGGGAATGCTCTATGTCTCTGCAAGGATCTTTGAAGAAATAGGTTTTGAAGATACCTCCGCAAGAAAGAGAAATGACACTTTTGGGTTGTCATAAGTTACCATTCTCTTCTTTTTTCTTTTCTTTTCTTTTTATTTTTTCTTTTTTTTTTTTGAGAGAGATTTTTACCATAGGGTACATGCGCCCACTGGAGAGACAGAGAGAGAGAAAACAAGAAATCACCCCCCAGGGGGGATGTCCACACCACAGTCCCTTCTCCTCCATGTTCCGTTTGGGATTCTGGGGATGCACACACACATGCCCAGTGTGAATTTGAAACTGCCAGGTCCAGGACTTGAACCATGGTCAACCACATGGAAGTCCAACGATGTAACTGTTAGGCCATCTGCTAGTCCCCATCCTCTTACTTCTTAATGGTGTCAATAAAAAATAGGTGGGAAAAAAAACACAGGCAATAATACAAAGCTACCCTGGGGACAAGTGGATGGCTGAATTGTCACGTCTCTGGACTCCCATGTAGGTGACCGCAGTTTGAGTCCTGGACCCGGCAACTTAAAGCCATGGACTTGGTGGCTTGAAAATCACACTAGGCACATGTATATGTTCATCCAAAATCCCAGGAGGAGAATGGAAGAGAAGGGACTCAGCATGGTCATATCCCCCCCCCCCCGGGGGGGGGGGGGAATTTCTCACTTTTTGTCTCTCCAGCAACCACACACGCCCCATAACAAAAATATCTAAAATAATAAAAATTTTTAAATGTTACGAAGGTACCCTTTAACTATTTCAAGCCATTATTTAAAAAAAAAAAAAAAAAAAGAGAGAATCTGTGGTCTGGCTCCCTAGGGCAGTGGCTAAGAGAGTCAGATCCCCCGTGGCCAAATGCAGTACAGTCCTGGCCTCAACAGCTTGAAAACCACGCTGGGCCCACATGCACAGTGCCCCAAGTCGCAACAAGATGGAGAAATGGAGGAAGAGATCGCAGCATGACCACCCACCATGGGGGGAGGAGGGAGTGGTTTTCTCTCTCTGTCAAGTGTGTGCACCCTCTGATCATTTAAAAAAAAAAAATGAAAAGAATACAGTATAGGCTGGCAAGTCTCAGCTCTGTTTAAGAGTCTGCTGAGTGGAAATAGATAAGCATCTGTGACAACCCAAGATGCCCAGTCTGCCGGTCCAGGCCCCTGTGCAAGAGGGCAAGAGGTTCCTAGCCCACCAAGCATGCCCCCACTACTTCCTGCTCCGTCTGGGAGGCAGCGGCATGGCTGCACTTCCCATCTCCAGAAAGGCGAGTGGCCCACCCTGGGTGGAAGGAGGGAGTGAGCAGCAGACCTGGGCGTGCTCCCAGACAAGGGGCCTCCTAATGGCACTGGGCTGTCTTACTCAAAGGCCGAGACGTGCGCAGATCCCCAGAGAAAAACAAGCGCCAACACCTGAAGAGGCCCACGGTCCTGAGAAAGGCCCTGAATGAGTCCCCAACTTTTCACGAATAAGTCAGTATTTCTGTACTACAAAGTGTACAGAAATGTTTTGAAAGAAAAAAATGAGGTGATTCAGAGCAACACACATAAAGGAAAGAAAAAAATAAATAAATAGAACGAAAACCTACGGTCAGCCCAGCCTGGGTCCAGTGGGTGTAAACTGTGCTCAGTGCTGGAAACCACGTGGCAGACTGGGCTCGGAACCCCAGGTCAGCTTAAAAACGTGCTGAACCCACGCATGTGTGCCCAGGATCCCGACAAGCAGGAGGGCCAGAAAAAGGGGATCGCAGCTAGGCGGGACCCTGGCAAGGACACTTGTCTCTCAGAGCACACACTCTCTGTCATGCATAAATAAAGTTAAGGCTCCGTCTGGGAGGCAGCGGCATGGCTGCACTTCCCATCTCCAGAAAGGCGAGTGGCCCACCCTGGGTGGAAGGAGGGAGTGAGCAGCAGACCTGGGCGTGCTCCCAGACAAGGGGCCTCCTAATGGCACTGGGCTGTCTTACTCAAAGGCCGAGACGTGCGCAGATCCCCAGAGAAAAACAAGCGCCAACACCTGAAGAGGCCCACGGTCCTGAGAAAGGCCCTGAATGAGTCCCCAACTTTTCACGAATAAGTCAGTATTTCTGTACTACAAAGTGTACAGAAATGTTTTGAAAGAAAAAAATGAGGTGATTCAGAGCAACACACATAAAGGAAAGAAAAAAATAAATAAATAGAACGAAAACCTACGGTCAGCCCAGCCTGGGTCCAGTGGGTGTAAACTGTGCTCAGTGCTGGAAACCACGTGGCAGACTGGGCTCGGAACCCCAGGTCAGCTTAAAAACGTGCTGAACCCACGCATGTGTGCCCAGGATCCCGACAAGCAGGAGGGCCAGAAAAAGGGGATCGCAGCTAGGCGGGACCCTGGCAAGGACACTTGTCTCTCAGAGCACACACTCTCTGTCATGCATAAATAAAGTTAAGAAAAAAAAAAAAAAACCCAACTGGCTAAAATTTCACTTGTGGGAGCCAGGCTACAGCACAGCAGTGATGCAACCGGCCCACACGAGGTCATGGGTTCATGTTTCAGGGCACGCACGCGTGCCAGTGGACCAGGCCGCCTGGCACTGCGGGTGGGTCGTGCCAGGAGGACTCTGCTGAAGATGC